TATCTAGCAGAGTACTGAGCCCGCTAGAATATTACCTAAAAATCCAAAATGTATATAATTTAAACATATACTATATATTGTGTAAATAGTATATATTCACTGTATTAGTATTACACTACTATGGTCAACCATAGTAATCTCATAGTTAATTTTTCATATTGGGAAAGGTAGTAATTTTTTTTTTTTGCCTGTGCTTCTGCCTATAAAAAAAATTTACTTTCTCCCTCAAATTATAACATCCACACCTTGTAACACCAACTATCTTACTGTTTTAGTGAAGAAACTAATTTCCAGTATACCAAATGCTGCCAGTAAGCTCAAGCACATCTTGTAGCATTTATAAAACTTGAGCAGGGAGTGGTTCATTCCCAAAGTCAATACCTCGGACAACTCTCCCATCATTCATCAGGCAAGATTTTAATATTCAAGTTTTAAAGTTGACTGCAGCAGCAGGTGAAGAGAAACATCACTCCGCCTTACAAGCGGACACTTTTCTTTCTGGCATTTAGAAGCATCAAATTGCAAAGCTAACCACAGAAGTACCCCTGAAAATACTTTCTGGATGCATTTGAAACAAGGACAGAAGTAGCAGTTCGACCACTCACTAGCTTCCATCTCACTGAGTTAAAAGGGCACACAGGCAGAGGGAGAGCAGCTCAAATAGTAGCTTGATGGCAGCAGTGCAGGGGAATAGCCTCAAATCACTCAGCTTATTACAAAAAAAGGAGCTTTTGACATGCACAAGACAGAAGTGAATTTACACTTGCAACATGCCAGGACATACTCAAAGTAATCACTAAGGTCGCTACACCGAGTGTTCACAAAGTAGTAAGTGACATAATAAAGAATGACCATGCAACCTTAATCTGGACCTCAATAAAATACAGTCTATAATAAACTACATGATCATACACGGATTCTCTTGCAGAATTATCATTTCATTCAATGCAAATATAGATTCTGCTCAGAGAATGACTCAGGATTTGTAGTGAATGAGACTCTTGTTCTAGGACCTGGCCAGCCTCAAAGAACTACTACAATATAAATATTTAATAATAATAAAAGCATGCAACACTTTTGCCAAGCACAAATGTTAGAAAGCAACTGCAAGTCTTGGCATTTGGTGGCACCTAGTAATCTGCTGGCTGAATCACTAATGTGATTGATGGCTTTAACTTGTTCAGGAACTATTGGCCCCACCAAGAGCTTAGACTTGTGCATTGTATATTTTTGGTATCAGTACATTTCTCTACACAACCGATAAGCGCTGGATGTTATTCTTGAAGCTTTTAAAGCAGTATGGGACTCTGCTACTTGGGAAACCTAGGAGAAAGTGATGCAGCTGACCTGTTTATGTACTTCGGACATATTTTGTTTTAATATTCTCCTTTCAGTAATTATGTTATGGTTGGTACAAACACAACTAAGAAATTTGCTCCTCTTGCAACAGATTTTTTCACTGATCTGGTTCTGAGGATCCTGCCGTCTTTTTTTGATGTCGAAAACAATTAATTCAGAAACTCTGTTGCCTATATATGTCCTGAGCTTACCATTCATACCTTATTTCAGTTAATTAACAATCCCTACCTGGATAACATCCTGCTTTTCAAAAACTGAAAGACATTCCTAGAGAGTTAGCCTGAGCACAGGCAGCAGCAGCAGCAAACTGCCTTCCTTCTTGATATTCCCCTTTCTGACCAGCTAGTCCCTGGCTTTCTACTGTTCTAGTCACAAGATTTCAAACCAGAAAGTCATTTCCAAGAAGCGCCAGTACAGTACTGTAAAAATTTCCCATCCCCATCCAGGTGAGATCCCTGGCAATACCAGCCTCCCTACTGCTGCAGCAAGGCATACATCATGCAGTTCTCAAAGGAAACACATCAAGGACTTCTGATGGTTTTCCCTTCTGAAGGAAACAAATCTGGTTTCCATACCGTTTCCCTAAACATGTGAGAACCAGTGAAGAGAATCACTGCATTACTGTAACCACAACAACACGTTTTGTGTCTGAATAACACACACTGGGCACCTTCAGGGTAGAGAATGCAGAAGTAGTAATAGATGAAAAAAATTAAAGATGCTAAGGCGAAAGGACGTACTACTATTTATTCATGTCAAATACTTTCTTCGGTATGATGTCATTTAAAATGCAAGTCAGAGCATTTAAGTTTTATCACAGCTCTACCTTTGTAAAAATACGTTAATCCTCCAGGTCATTAGTGTAAATGGTATCAACTAACAGCAAGGAACAGATTTTGAACAAATGAAAGATTAAGTCGGGGGCGGGAGGGAAGTAGAAGAAAAAAGAGCGAAACCTAATTGTTGCCCCAAGTGCTTCAAGTCACACAAGATTCTCACATGCTGTCAATTAAGTGAACTCTTATAAAGTTATGATCTGTGGCAAAATTCCATGAGAATGATTATATCACACAACAGACGTAATGAAACTATATCTGCCAACAAAGTCATCAGTGCAGAACATATTATCCTTTTTAACTCTGAGAAGATTTTTTTTTTAAAAACAGAAAGTGCTTCCATGATAGTACCATCTTGATTAAGTGTCAAAGAAAGTAATCTGAATTTTAACAACTAGGTTCTACTGAATTCAGAATATCTACTTAGAAAATGTATTTGGTATCCTGAACACATGGTGAACTTGTGGAATAGCAGCAGAATCATCTAAGCTTCCTTGTCTGTCATTCCTTCCTTCAAAGCTTCCTTGTCTGTCATTCCTTCCTTCAAAATAATCCTTATTTAGTATGTTTAATGACATTTTCCTCTTTCCTCTAGCTCCTTTTGCTATTGAAAAAAATATAGAATAATTCAGGCTGGATGGGAACTCTGAAGGTCATCAAATCCGTTCTTCCTTCTCAAAACAGGGCCAACTTTACATCCAAAAAGAAACAAAAAAAGAGAGAATGAAAATATAACCTAAAACCAAAGGACGATTACAGTAAAAAAAAAAACAACAACAACAAAAAAACCCTAACACACCACGTTTTCACCTATGTAATACTTGTGTTCTTTGTTCCTTAACCTAACCTCATATTCTTTGTTTTAATCACATTGATTTTAGGTTACAAGCCTTTTCAGAAGCTAACCTCATGGCCAATTTGCTTTTAAAGCAAACATGTATATTTAGGGCGCTATACAAATTTTTGAATAGTTAACAAAGAAAATACTATATCATTTTTAATCCAAAATAATAGAAAGCTTTTAGTCATGAGTTTTTAATAAAAACCTTTTTAGGGTTTTGGAAGCCCTCCAAAAAGTAAAAACTTCATTGGCCCTCGTACGAAAGTATGAGGGGGAACAGGCCATGTCTCAAAGAGCTATAATCTACATAGATAAAGAGAGCAAAGAAAAGAAAAAGAGGATGTAATAGAGGCATGATAGGAAGGAAGATTCAATGGGACTTGCTAAAAGTAATAAAGAAAAGGACAGCTAACACAGGAGGAGGAGGGAGAGTACGGCTGAAGCAGTGGCTTAGGGAAAGCATACTGGTCTCCAAAGCTGGTATGCCAAAAGCATGTGGATAGTCAATAGGTGGCTGCGTTTTGAACACTGCTGGCATTATAAAATATGCTTAGTCTGACAAAAATTAGATTACTGAAAAACCTAAAACTATTTTTCCCCTACCAAAACCAAGACAGTCATTTAAAATTTACTTATCCTCTTCACAGTTTTAGCTTAATCTCTTGGCTTTGGCTTCCACGCGCATAAAATTGAAGATAACGCATCATCTCATCCTATGATGTTATAAAGCTGAATACACCTCTGTCTGCAGTTCCCCAGGACACCACAACAACAGAAAATTCCACAAAGAAACAGGTAGTTCTGGAATCGGCACAAGTTTCACACAGTATTCAATGAACAACTTACAGTCACTACTTTAAATGACAGCAGAAAGACACTTTGACCAGCTATTCATGCACTAAACATCATCCTTCCTGCACCCTGAATGAGATTGATCCTTTAGGGGGAAAAAAAAAAAAAAAATCAATATTCCTTCTCAGGCATACACGTTCTTCTACAGCACTTTTTTGCCAGTTAAACTCAATTACAGTTATTTATGTACCCTGTTTGTTCAACAAAAGAAGGTCCTACCTAGAGACCCTCTCATTCACTGCAAACAACAGTCCCTAGCACACTTACGAGGCTTTTATTCCACTGTGGGAGCTCCCAAGCTGTTTAGCAAGACTGAATTCAAAACTTTAAGTACACTGAAACTATCTAAAATATTAATCATGGCTTTATATTAACATGAAACATTGTATAGTGTATGCAAACTCAAGGCATTCAAGGCCACTGGGCTGCTTCAGTGCTTTTTTTTTTTTTTTAAAGCAGCAGAGGCAAAAGACTTAATCCTTCTGCTCCTAATACCAACATTTCTCCATGGCTGTTGACCTTAGAAAGAGAGTAACTAGTGACCTCTAGTGTCAAGAAGCTCAGTCTCAATTTGACTGATTACAGCAAAAAGCAGAATAGCTTACATGATGGACATCAACTTTCTGCCCTTGTTTGTGACACAGCAAATGGTCGCTACTGCTACCTAATATTGAGGTTCTTTCCACTCTAACTCACAAGCAAAAATAATTGTATCCATTTTTAATGAACCAAGGGTAAAGGAATCATAAGTTCCCAACATCTCAATAAATTGCAGATTGACATTTCTCCTGCTTTGAAACGTTTAATATGTTTTTCCTCATTTGGAAGATCATCAGTAGGATAGCTAGAGACAGACATGGCTTTAGGTGGATATTAACTCCTTAACGACTGATCTAGAGGCTATTAATGACAGTGAACCACAATCCAAGTCTGCCAGCAGAGCCTAGTATATGGTAAGAAGCTGTAATTGCCATATTGCCTCAGGACATGGTTGTCCCAGGTAGAAGTATATGGTCCAGGAAGTCATTCCGAAGACACTGCCCAAACGACACAAGAGCTGTTTGTAACAGAAATGTGAATACAGAAACAAAGAGTCCTACTGTTTTACTTACAATTTTGAGTCCAGGTTCAGGAGAAAGCCCAGTTTGTCATATTCTGGAAAACAAAAGCAAGGAATATAATATCATATATGCAAGGGTCTCCTCCGCAAAAGGCACCAAAACCAAAAAGCAGCAAATCCTTATAGAAGGGCACCAATTATTTCTTGCTGGAAATAGCTACATCATAAATTCCAGTTACTAGCAGCTGTTACCACAGATTTACTTAATACCTTTAAGTATTACTTAAAGATTACTGAAAGGTATTCCCACATTCTCATTTCTGAATCTCCAGGAAATACTAAAGCAAGAGGATGTGTGGGACGTCACTGATTTAAAAATCACTAGAATTAACTGAGATATCAAGATACTGAGATACTCAAGACTGCAAATAGCACATGCAACTGCATACAAAGCTTTTCCACTTGCAGTCAAAATCATGTTGCCAGTAATCTGCACAACCAAGCCTCCTCCTAGCTCCTGAAGCGGTAGAGCTTTCAAATTTTTCTTGACTCCTTGTCTTCTCCAGCTCACAACTTGGTAATCAAGCAGCCCTTCTTCAAGGGAGGGTTACTGATGGTGGCAAAGATGCCTATAGTTCAGTGGTGGTGTTCAACTGGAAACCGCAAAGTCAGAGTTTGTGCTGCTTAGACTCAGAGGGAACAGTTACAGATATTCCCAGTGAAAGGTTTGTTTCAGTAACTCCCGTTTAAAAGCAAGTTCTGCATTCAGCATCTCTGAATATACTGTGATCTCATAAATCAAATGCTCCATACAAAAGATAAAACTCTGAGAATTCATATAAGATACATAACAAGAACTAAAAGGTGTAGTGTCCTCCCAGTATTTGGTTTACGCTCAAGGGCTTCCTCACACCAAGAACCACCTGGGTCTCACTGTGATACAAGACAATACAAAGAGAAAATTAAAAGATAAACCCTCAAGAGCTTAACAGTCAGGATGTATTAAAAGGAACAAGCAGCAAAGTACTGTCATAGCCTTTCTGAAGGAGCAGAAGGGGAAGGAAATAGAGGACAAAACTGCTTTCCTTATGAAACAATACCAGAATTTCTTCTGCAGGATTTTACTTACAAGATCATAAGCTCTTAATGCTATCGCTCACTGACAGAACAGGAAAGCTTAAACACGTACCTAAGACAAAACCACAGGAATAGACAGGTCAGCGTAATCTGTGTCACTGATTTCAGTGGCATCAAGATTTAATTCCTGATTAATGGGAAGAACCATGACCCACATAGCTTTGCTAACAGAAATTGCAGAACATGTAAGCACCTGGTATCAGCACATGCTATCCCCTCTCTGCCAGCACCCAACATGCCGCTTACCCCTCCTTGAATCACCTCAACCTTCAACTTCTCCATACTGAAAGCTGCATTTCCCCCATGTGTTTCTTTCCCTGTAACTTCCTCTCAAGAAATTCCTCGTACAAGAAATTTTCACATCCGACCTTATCTCCACCACTCGTCGGATTGTATGCCCTTCACCCCTCCTTTCTCTTCCTTGTCCACCACATCACAGGGTTTCTGCACATTGCCCAGTTTCTTCTTCTCCACTGCCACGACAAGGGCAGGGTGACTGTAGTCACCCTTCCTGCCTGCACAGGAAGATTGCCACTATTCAGGGCAAACATGTGCTGGGAACTTTTATTAACCCCTGCCCCTTCCTAAAACATCCATACTGAACAAACAGCAACAGATAAAGAAAAAACTACAGCCATTGACCAATCTGTCATCATCCTTATTCCATTCCAACTAACATACCCTACTTCCCAAGAGTCAATACAAAAAGAGGAAATGCAGTATAGGAGAGGCATCACCTCATAACTAGAGGACAACATCCTGGGCTTTCTACCAACTCAGCAATTTATGAGCTTTGCAACCAAAGCACCAGAAAATACACACTAAATGCTCAGGGCCACATGCGACATACCTCCATCGCTACGATTCATAACAGTTACCTTGTGTTTGTCACATGCACCTTACCTTCCTTCCCTAGGTTAAAGGTTTTTACTTTTTGATCACTAACAGAGGCATAAGGTAATTTTGTAAAGCTATACATGCCGTATTTGATAAAAAACCTTCCAGAAAATGGGACAAAATATAAGAAAATATAACAAAACACCTCTGGTTCAAACTGGAAGCATGGGTGTGCCTGTGTTTCAGGAAAGTGTAAACATACCCTATCAGGCTTTAACACGGAAAAATGAAGCCTCTATATTTCCTCCTGTGAGCTGCTGGTGAAACGTGGAAACTCCTGCAGGCAGAGAAACACTGCCCTCACTGCTGGCCACCTCAAGCTCACAAGGACTTCTGGAAACAACTGCATTACTATTGTCTCATTCTAAGAAATGGATCTTTATCATATGCAGCTCCTCCAACGTGGACCCAAGAAGCCTCCAAATCTCACAGATTCAAAGTTAGCTTCCCTGATAGCATGAACTGGAGTCTTGCTACAGACTTCTCCTGTCAGTTAGCTATAGCACTATGAATACAAGGACCAAAAGTCACTATGGCACATAGTAATGCAGCCCTGTGCTGGCTAGAAGCAGTCTGGAATCACAAAAGACAGATAAACCACCAATCACCTGGAAAGCCAAAAAGCACAGAGCATCAGCAGCAGGAAAAAGCAACCCTTGTCTGGAGCTATGTATTTAATTTAAAACAAAACAAAACACAGATACACTAAATCAAAGGGAAGTACAGCTGGCTAAAATACAGTATGATTAGGGTGTGATGATTAGAGGAGATGGACTGAGCTGATCACAAAACTCACTGTCAGCGAAAGGGATAATCCCACTCCTACCCTTCCCTCCCTTCAAGCTACCGGCTGCAAGTTTCTGCCCGGGCACTCATTTAACCTCCCTGCATCCTAAGCTCTGGGCTTTCATCACATCCTCCACCTCACTCTAAAGCTTTATTCACCAAGTTAACCAGCTGATATGCAAAAACACTCTTCCTCTTTTCATGAAGTGGGTAAAGAACGGCTAGAATATCAGAGAAAATAGGGAAGGGGAAAAAAAAAAAAGAAAAGAGACCAGTTAGGGAGAACAATGTAAAAATACTCCAGCATCTCCCCAAAGAACTCTTGGATCAGCTGGCCTTGTTAACTGTGGTTTGAGGTTGGCTCCTGCAGATGCGTTTGGGGGTCTCTGCACTGAAGCCCAATGCAGAGACACCAGTGTGTGTGGTTCTGGAGAACTTGCTTCAGATCCAACCAGGTTTGTTAGGTCTGATCCAGCTCATGCCTGACCCACATCCTGTCTAAATCCATTGCACTCTCCAGCAGCAGGTCAGCTTAATACACTGGGTGCAGTACCAGAACTGAGCTGGCTCCTGGGCTCATACAGCACTGTGGGAGCACAGCCACCTCCCCTGAGCCCCCAGGGCAGGGAAGTGGGTGCTCTCCTGCTGTAGATGGAATCAGCCTGGGGTCAGGACTTGTGCTAACTCCGTGTGGAAACCACGGGTGTTTCTTGACATTATCCTCCCGGTTCAGATTCAACGTGGTCCTGCATGAAACCAGACCGAGTTCCTTGGTATTAATGGGGTATTTGGATTCTGTGTAGCAGAAAAGCTGCTGCATATTTCCTGACCCAGACCAGTTGCGGATACAGTACTGGGATGCTCTTCTAAGTCTGCCTGTCAGCTAAGAACACGGATGGACCTGAGCTGCCTGTATTTGTGACACAGATAACTTCGCTTTTGCCTTTACCGTGCTTGCCTCACTAGTAGGATTTCATACCACTCTGAGAAACAGTATTTCCCTTCAATCTCCAGAAAAGGCAATTATACTGGCTCTGTGAGATAGGATTAAAAAAAATGCCCAAAATGAACAAAGGTAACAATGAACTTTCTTTGAATCCACTAGCAGAACATCATGGAAGAATCTGAAAAAGGTGAAGCCTTTTTCCCATAAGGGATAAAAGCAGCAGTATTAAAAGAGAGTAGGGAGATCAAAGGACTACACTGTCACTTGTTGTAGGAAGCGACAGACCTCAGTTGACAAAGTGGTACAGTAGTATACAGAAGCACAGAACTGAATGAACATGGGAAATAAATTTCATCGTGCCCCGTAAGAACAAGAGGTCTCCATGGGTCAAAAACAACATGTATTTCTACATTTCAGGGAAGATCAGAATTGAATAAGAACCGAATAAGTGACAACAATTTCATAATAAAGCATGTAATAAGGATTATACAAATAGAAGTACAGCCAAGCATAGCAATTTCTATAAATGATGCAAATCCTGTGCCAAATTCAATGCTGGCCTAAACATGGAAATTTCTCTCAAGCATCCAAAAGAAGTCCAGCTACCAGACAGCAAAAGATAAATGCTTAGTCTAACATCTATAAACTCCATACAGACCACCCAGACAGCCACAAAACACAATGTACAGTATCAATCACAAGTTTTCAAATTGTATTTTGCGTTTTTAGCCATATATTAACGCAGAAGCAAAATGGGTAAAATCTTTCCCTTATTTTACTCATCTGACATCAACAATTCAGGAATTAAAGTCGGCTTACTGGTTTTTTTCCTTCCAGCCGAGAGTTTTATTTTAAACATACTACTTGCAAGTGATTTCACCAATGACTCAAGTACTATTTCTTTAACATCTGGCTACTTAGAAACACAATACAAATAATTTTGCCCATAAAACTAGAAAATGTATTCAAACTTTTAAAAAGGATGGGCCATATACTACAGCTTTAATTCTCTCTATATTTAATTGGTAATTGCAAAAGAGGCAGTACCAGAGGGAAGGCAGAAGGCTTACTTTAGCTATTTTACCCAAAAGTTTGGGCTCGTCAAATAAATCATTATGACACACAGGAGACAGAAGTCCTATCAGGAATAGTTCAGGCCACCCCGATACATTTCATCCCATCCAGGGAAGTCCAGTCTCTGCAGAATTGAGGCCTCTAACTGAGCTAAGCTTTGGTCAGTGTCCACATGCAAGGTTCACATCTGTGGAAAAGGCCAGGTAAGACCACTTACCCTGTAACAAAACAGGGTCAAACACCTCACATTTACCTTGGACTAAGAAAACGCACAGGGACTGTTATAAAAGTTCAGTCGATTTAAGAAATTCTGTCAGAACTCAAGAGATGAGAATTAGTGAAAAAGGTCGTATGCAATGGATTAATTGAAAAGGACAAAAGAAAGGTTTTCTTGCAGGCTTAAACAAATACTGCTCAGGATTACAAAGCAGCAATGAAACTACTAGACACACAAGAATTTATGCTGTATCCTTTCCTTCAGATTTTCACTTTAACCTCTTCCATGAAGGAACTTACTAATGAAAGCATATTTTCTAAGGCTATTTAAATAAACTGCAAAAAGACTATTAAGATTGTAAAACCAAGTTCAGAAGGGGCCTGAGGTCACCTGGGCTCCTCAGCCCTGTCCCAGCCTCTCTGCTTAGATTGTGTGCCCATTCCCTAACATCTGTGTTCCAGTTTCCTCCTCAATCCTATTTACCCACTTTTGTGTACAAGTTTAACAGCCTTTTCCTCCAGGTTGCCCACCTGACACCAGAAAGAACCCTGAGCGTACTGGCCCAGTACCCAGAGCCCAGTCCTTAGTGCCTTTCCGTACCACAGAAATACACAAAAACAGCAGAATCAAAAGCTGTAAAGAGAACTCTGCTTAATCCTTGCAGCCCAGTGCTGGAGCATGCCTAGCTGTCCACGTCTCTGTAGAACCATCTGGCCATTTTACATTTCAATCACGTGTGTAAGAACTGAGATTTTTCAAAGACTTACAACATAGCCTGATTTATGCTCCCTCCTTTTCTGGGGAGGGAAAGAACTTCCTCGATACCATTACTCCTTCCACCTAAAGGGCCAGGACCAAAGCATGAAGTAAGTGCAAAGTACATTCTATTAACAGCTAGAATACTTCTAGGATGTTGTCAAAACAACTTTTTTCCCCCCCTTATTTTGTTCTCAGAAAAGATCAAATAACTTCAAAAATTTTAAGAAAAGGTCAGAAATTTGAAACAGGCTCCAGCACAGAGCATTTCAGCCTAAATGGCTAAAATGTGACAATATGCTAAGCAGCAGAAAAAAAAGACACTTTAATGGGAACTGTAGAGCAATTCTCAACATAGGCAGCGAAATTTGGAATTTCACATCTATTAAAACTGAAATTCAAACCTGTGGATTAAAAGTAGGGGGAGGAGGAGTCTGTCCAGTCACAAACCCGTGCATGCCCTAGTGACACTTAAAATCATAAGGATACTACTTATTGTTTCAGATTTAGCAGCAAAAGGAAGTAATTTCCCAGCTCTATACCTTCGTTTTCTTTACCCTGTAATGCCTGATTAGGGCCCCCAAAGACATCTGGCCTGGCTTTACAGCCTGAAGAAAGCAATACACCAGAGGGGGCTCCTTCATTAGGCACTGCAACTACATTATTCATCCCCCAGGCACAGGAAGAACAAATAAGCAATCACTTGCTGTACAGGTCATCCATCAGGAAGGTCTCCTGCCTGCTTGTCTTACCTCCAAAATAGGTAAAATAAAACAAAAAGAGGTCATTTTACCATATTACATTTTGAAAGGCTCTGGTTACCTTGACACAGATTGTGTAAGTCCTGAAATATTTTTCATAATAAAACTATAGCAACCTCCACGGATAGAAAAGCAACTGACTGCTTTAAGCCAGATTTATGAAAGGCTCCAATAGGAAGGTGAAAAATTTCCTCCTATGAACTGTGTATGCCCTTTTTTCTCTCCCAAGGAGTCATCTGTTTAAAGCTAGACTACAGTTTTGCTAAACAAACAGTTATTTCATTTACTGCCATGTATCCACTTGGCTAATGGAGCTAATACTGACCTACTGAATCTTCCAAGAGATTCTTATTTTAGAAATTGTATCGTGTTTCCTAATAAAAGTCAAGAACAATATTAACAAAACAGTAATCTACATTGGCTTTTAGTGACCTACACGATGTACTGACTTGATGTGGAGAGATGCCACATAATACAGAAAAATCCCATTAAAATACTTTTATTTCAGGGTATTCCTTAGTGCACTCCTTGGCTTTTGCACATGGACTCATTCACAGCTGTATTTTCAATTGGAAGACTAGGGTGTAGAGGAGAGGAAGATAGATGATGATACTGAATACACTGGCAAAGTCATGTAAGGACTATGGAATCAATACATGACAGTCATTGGCAAAGATTCAAGCAGCTCCCACAGTCTACAAGTCAAAGAAATAAAGGAGTGGAACTTCATTAATCAAAAATGAAAAAGGAGAAGGATTTTTGCAGAATAAAACCGGTAAAACGAGCGGAAAACACATGAGATCTTTCATATGTATTCTCTACTTTACAGGAATACGGAAAAAAGCAGAAGTCCACCCATTCTTTCCCATCCCTACTGGGTACTGTTAAGACAGTTGGAAATGCAATGTAAAAACCATTCAGTAGAAACTCATCAGCTCCACATGTAAATTAAAATTGTTTGCCTGAAACTAAGAGCAACTACCAGAGTCTCACAAATTCTATTATTTAGCATAAATCTAAATTGGTTAGACAAGCTCTACAAGGCTGGCACTACAAGGCTCTGCAAGGCCTGTAAATTGCAGGCTACTTCAGGAGAGATCAACAATCACAGTGTTTGCAGTTGCAGCCTATAATACCAGATTCTCATGGGGAAAGCCAAAGACCAGCAAACAATCTTCTGCAAGTCAGTAAACTATGTTTCTCTCTCATACTAGGACTCCATTCATGTCACTCTCCATCTGAAATGCGTGAAAGCAGTCACCCAATTCACCAGATTCAGAAAACTTTAATGTTGTATTTAGGGTGACAGACTCAGGGTTCTCCTATTCCTGCCCCAAAATGTTATCTGATGCATCTTCAACAGCCGCAGGAGACAGAGAGAACTCACAGTTCTAAGAATTTTTCCCAAGGAAAAGGCTCAGGACATTAGAATAAGGAATTACAACTAATAGCACACTCCTAAATAAGAGCAAATTTAAATTCTCAACTGATTAATAGAACATTAATGTAAATTCAGCATCTGGAAACGTGGTCTTCCATGTGGACTTTCACAAGTACGTAAGCCTCACTTCCACATGGACTTTCACAAGCACATGAGCCTCAGCAGATATGCAGTCCTAAAGTGAGATTTTTAAAATCTCACTTTGTCTGCATAAGTCAAGCCAACCTTCTGATGAAGCGCTTAAGGAAGAAACTGAAAAGAAAAAAGCAGCAACAATAACAATAAGCAAGTTAAAATAATCAAACAGTTTGAGCAAAACCTTTTCCATGAAAAGAGAGGACTTTTGAGCCTTGAGTCTGCATTGCCAGTGAAAAAAGACTGCTACACAACCAGTGGCCAGTGCTAGAATCAAACACGTCTAACAGCGTAAGCCTTCAAGGTATCTAAAATCCCAGCATTTCCAGCAAGCATATTAGCAGATGTACCTTCAGAGCACTTTTATTCTAATGAGGCTTAGAGAAGAAAATTTTAACTTACTTGCTCTCAGACAGGGGGCGACAAAAAAAAAAAGTCTTCAACAAAAATAGCAGCGGTATAAATTTGACTTTCAAGGTCCAGTGTTTGATTTGCCAGCAACAAAGTAAAACAAAGCAATCGGGGAAAAAAAAAGTATGAGTTGTCCATTGCAAACAAATGAAATCTAGGTCTACTCAAACACTCTGTGTCCTGCTTAATGTCTTCCAAATTCAGAGCATCACACCATCCCCTCCTAACTGGTTTCAGCTGAAACACTAGCCCAGACACCACATCAAACACTTATTCTTGCTGCTCAAACTTCATCTTTCAAGGGAAGGGGCAGGTGAGAAAAGGATCACAAAAACGTGGTCTCATGAAGGCTAGACCACAGTGTAAACTTCAGACATCTCAGTCTCACTTCAAGCATATTTAATTGTCATGCGCTCTATGCTAATAAATGTCTGCGAACCAGTACTTTAAGGCTCAATAGCTAGACGATTTTCTGAACACTCAGTTCAGGAAGTTTTACCCAGAGTAACCTGAAGAGCGTGATTAGTCTGAGATGCATCAGGACAGATTTCCAGCATCTCTGAAAACTGAGAATTGTATGTGGGAGAAAGAGTGAAAGTGATAACCAAGATGAAGGACCCACAGTCAATCTAGAGAAAATACGGAAGCTGTGACAAGATAGTGCTCTTTACGTGGTATGACTACAAAAGAGCAGTTCTAAGATGCTGTTCAGTATGCAAATAAAAGTAAACACGTGCTAATTTAAAACAGCATAAAATCTTAGAGACACTATTATTCACAGCTGTTTAATTCTGGCAAGAAAAAAGGTGGTTTTTTTTTTTTTTTTTTTTTAAATGTTTCGGAGGATGTAGTTTGTGCCACTTCTTACCCCGACCTGAAACATCACCTACTAGGAATGGCTGGGACTGGAGCTGCCATTGTTTCTTTGAGTTCTTTCTGGACTCTGTCTTTTCCTGGGTCTGCAGCAAGGTGAGATGGGACGGACAGCGGAAGCACAAGAGTCACAGTTTTTCTCTCTCTCCTTCCTGTTCAACAAGGAAAGCTATCCCTCAGTTGGACGATATCACACATCTTGACATCTTATTATACATATCAGTTTAAAATGAGCTAAAGTTTCCAACACAATGAATACAGAGCACTAAATATGAAGGTAATAAACATACAGCTCTTTTAGACATTTTTGAGTTTCCCTTCCCTGAGTTTTCTTCATATTTCCTCACTGAATAAATTCAATCTTGTTGCAGTGGGATGGTTTACTAGAGGTTATTTTACCATCTTATTCATAACAAATCCAAGCTTGAGTTGTAATGTATAAGCAGAGCAAAGACCAATGTTTTTAAAACAGACCCAGACAGTCAGTCTGCTTACATTAGCCTTGTCTCCCACCTTCTGTATTAACAGTACTCCAAAAGACACTATCAGTTGAACTTATTTTCCATAAATAAATTTACCACCCTATTGGTAGCATCATAGCACAATATTTATGGTCAACTCCATAGATACCCTGCGTTGGAAGCTATTCATAGGGCTAATTATGTTTTCAAATTCACCTGAAGCCAAATAAACATTAGAAAAAAATGTAGTGGGTAACAGTCAAAAATTTCACTCTGGGCCAGATTCTGGTCTTCGTTATACTAACATCAATCCAGTATACTCAAGTGAGGATAAGCTGATCCAGGCTTACTCAGCCGCAATCAAAAATAAAATATTTCCCTGAATTTTATTCACAGATTTCATATTTCAAATCTGTGCAACTCCCCCCTACTTCTGAAGGGTAAAGAAACCATTACCCAATAGGGAAGGAGGCAGGCAACAACCCACCTCAGTTATGACTGACATCAGTAACTAGGAAGGGAGTCAGAGGTTCTCGCCTCCCCTGAAACACCCATCCGTTCTGCACTCAGCACCCTAAGTTGCTCCCACATCTAACCATACACCCACAACAGAGCAGTTTCCAGGTTCTAGAGAAGAATGCAGGGACAGCAGAAAGCATTTGGGGCACTGTAAACAAAGCAAGTTGCTACCGCTAGCTCTAAGGTTAGTAAATCAGAATTGTGTGCTCAAGCTTCATTGTTAGTGTCAGGCAGCAGAGGCTCTTTCATACCGTGCAGGCAAGAGACAGGTGCTATGTTGGAAGGCAGCAAACTTCCTATGAAACTAAGAGTTATGGCTAGTAAGCAAGATAAAAAAAACCTAAAAATCTCCACTTAGATTTTTTTTCCCCCTCTCCTAAGAGGGGACCCTCCTCTCATAAGTGTTAAAGGACTTTAAGGTCATTCTTAGCCTCTTCTTTGCACTCCACGTATCATTTATACACATATTGTAAACCGAATTTTACCCAGTATTGTGCTTGTTATGGTGTGCCTTGGCTACAGCCCATGTATTATGGATAGCCAAATGGACAGTTACTGGTTTCATGAAGTGCCCCCAGCACAAAAGAACTTTTGATTTTTGGTTCAATTTAATTCCAGGTCGGGCTCATGTTCCAAAGGAAACGTGGTCAGGCTGGCTTTGCCCTGGGGCTCAATAATGCTGGTTAATCTCCACAAAAAACAAGTTTCCAGCCCTATTTGTTGAACTATAGATCTTTCGCCTTCTTCTTCCTGGAAGCATTCCTGATGTCTTTCCTCAAATAACTCAACTGTTTGTTTAGCTGAGAAACTCTCCTAGTAGCATGGAATAGTTTTTCTTCAGTTGGTGGGTGACATCATCTTAATGCCTTTCACATGAGAAAAGAAACCCAAACTGCGCCACTAACGCACATAATGTGTCCAGGTCATCTGCTGAGCTGCATAACAGCTACGGCCTCACATTTTAATGTTTGTGTCACATTAAGACCTTTAATACTTCCACTGCACTTAGCAAACGATCTATTTACCCAGTTTGGCTAGATGGCTGATTGCCACAAAAGCATGACTCAGTTACCTGCCTCCCAACATGGCTACCACGTCCAGTTACATAGAAGCCTTTTCATGAGGTGGGAGAGAGAGAAGAAGGCAATGTTGTACCTGAGCCTATTGTATGTCCAACGGAGTCAAAGGAAAGAACCACTGAATCTGTAACACAAGAGTACAAGTTCATTTTCCCCTTTTTCCTTAGCACTGTTTCTTGCTGTAGTGCACAAACAAATTAATTAGCCCACATTTCCAGGTGCATTTAGTAGTGCTGGTGGAGAAACAGCGAGCCATTGGGGAGCAGGAAGGGCAAGACTGCAAACGTCTAGCACTTGCCCCCTCCCAAAAGCTGTGCTGAGCAACATCCCGTTGTCATTACAATGCAGAGAAGTGACAAGTTACTCAGAAGGGTTTCTTGCAGTTTCTTGCTCTGCATTTCCTTTTCATTTTACTCAAATAATCCCTTACGCTACATTCCACTGGGAAAAAGATCAACCTCTTCAACAACCAAACAAACAACATCCAGCAAATGCAGAACATTGTAGTACACTGGAGAAACATGGCATGATGACCCGACAAAGTTGCCGCTATTTGTTGAAAATATCTTCACTTTATATCTAAGCAAGCAAGTTTGGCCTTGTCTTATCAAAATTGAATCATAATATGCTTTTGTCTGCTAGGCTGGAGAGCTCTTTGTTATCAAGTGTTTTGTCCCCATTTAAGGAACTCCCCCCTATTAAGATCTGCTATGCCCTGGCGTTCTGTTTGCTCAGCCAAGTACGTTGTGCTCCTTACCATTCTCATTGTAAGGCATGGTTTCCACATCTTTTAAACTCTAGTGGCTCCCTGTCTGAATGCATTTCAATTTATCAGTATCCTTCACCTTGCAGCATGCGTGCTAAGCATCAAGGAAAATTGAACCCCTCTGCTTGATACCTTTTTATTTCGCCATCTGAGGATCACATTAGCCTTTTAGCCATGGCCACAGTGACAGCTTTTATTCATCAGCTAATACCCGAGACTTTCAGTCTCTTTCATATGAACGGGCACACTTTTGTAATTGTGGTAATATTGCTTGCTTGCACCTGGCTCACCAACTCATCCAGACCCCATTATTAGTCATTCATTTTCCTCATTATATACTGCTCTCCCAATCTATATGCTGTTTGCAAAATTGATCAATAAGGATTTGATATTCCGTGCCATGTACAGTTGCTACATGGTATAACAGTCCATATATTTCTTAGCGGCTTTTCCAGCTCTATTTTTACTTGAGACAAACCAACAATCATTTTGGTAGCACGTCTCATGGTTTGCTGTTCATTTTCATCTCAGTTCTAAACCAGAGCAGAAACTACCAAATTCTACTCCACAACCAGAGGAGCTGAACTAGGCCCATAACCGAAACACAGCTTTCAAATGGATAAAACACAGGCAAGAGCAAACTAACACGACAGAATGAAGACTTTTATGCAAACAGAAGCTTTAAACTGAGACAGCAGGTAATCGCAGAACTGCTAAATGATGAGATCCAATTCCTTAAAGTTTCTCTTTGCAATTTAGGCCTTAGCTGTGATCCGTTTGCCACAGCAGCTGCCTGGCTACAAGCTCTTAGCACAAGGCACTATCAGCAACCAGACTTAGCGCACTGAAAAAAAGTTTAAGCTCCAGCTGCATCACCTTACATTTGGGCAAGTTACAATCACAGTGACAGTTACCACATTTCAGCTGACAGTAACTTGACAACAGGACTGACCCTTTGGATCTTCTATGTTGTACATCATCCTTATGCTTATTTCCTAAAACTTACAAATTCAAAAAGGAAGAGCTAATTTTGGAAATAAACACAGCAAAATTGTTCATTTAATGTGATTTAAAACTTTTTTTTTTTTTTTTTTTTTAAAGGGAGGTCTGTTCCATCTCAGATGCAACACTGCGGTAGTTACCTTTCTTTTTAAAGATTACTAGTCTCAAAATTTTATTCCAATAAAAATAAAAATCCATCTGGACTTAACAACTGTATTTCCTCTTTGGGGAGCGAAATCCAGACATCTTTATGTTATTCTAAATAGCAAGGGGCTTAATTCATTTTAACCGTGATACATTCATCTGCCATCAATTAATTCTGAACAACCTCTGTGGGGTTCTACTTTCAAAAAAACTGTTGAGATTTTTATCAGCATAAAGCATCGCTTTGTAGTTTATGCCATATTTAAGCGTTCATTTTCCCCAATGTGTCTTCCATTCAAACACTGGGCAAATAGGACTTGTCTAAGAATGGCTGAAGAGCACTGCAATCACCATATTAACCCCATTATTGCAGCCTGCAACTGCGTTACGTTTCAGTCTCTTAATTGAGAACGACATTAACCTTCCTCCCATGAACAAGAAAAGTTACAAGCATAGTAAGCATGCGACTTCCCTTTTCCAGGCCAGTCCTCCATATGACTATTAGTTTCACAGCTTCAACACCAAATTCACTATGAGTAACCTGTATTACAGCAAATTCCCCCCCTCCCCCGTGCAAGTAATTTCACAGATCTTTATTAAAACACAGTGTTTTATTTCTGGTATTAACACTTCAAAACAGAAGCAGCTGTAAAAGAAAGCCTTGGGAAAGGCTGAGAAGGTAATCATGTGTTACTTTTTCTACAGCTATTCACATTCAGTCAAATGCAGTGTTACAGGTTATTTTGGTCAGAATTTAATGGAGACAGACATTTCTTCGATGCAAGCCTGATTTATTAGCAAAGATACTGAGTCCTGCTTCCTTGAACACAGCAAGGAGTTTGCTTCTAGCTTCAAACCTCTTCCAGCCATCACTCAGTTCAAAATCCTCCTGGCTTTCTAGACTTTATGCGCTTGCTCAGTCTGTGCATAGCGCCTTCCCCCATCCCCTGTTTCTGTTTTCAGGGTCTCTTCTGCCTATTTATTTATTTTTTTAAAGGCAAATAAAACTTAATAAGATAGAATGCAAAACATATCCACTTATATATGCCCTTGTTTTAGGTGCCAAGAAGTGCTTGTCTGAAGGACACATTTCTAATGTTTCAGCTACCTACTTCCATAAAGGAGCTCAAGTATTTTTCTTCCACCTTCTTATGCCCAAATGGCAGCAATTTGGGCCGCCTTTATGCCCAAAGCATGAAAGCTGACACCTGATAGCTCTCCAATATGCACAGCTTAAGGCTGTGTACACCATAATGCCAGCCTTTTGCATCTGCTGTCATGTTAGCTACAGTCAGTTTTCCAGTGGCTGCAGCAGTAAAAAGGAAATCAAGATACAGCACAATCCAAAAGTAATTCTGGACCTGATTCAACCCATAAGAAGAGGTAAAGACAGCAGAAATAGTTATTTAGAAGGCACTCGGTGCCTGGAATAACTACTTCTGAGACTTCACCAGTGACAGACAGCAAAGTTGGCTGGTTTGGACCTATGCCTTAGGTCACTTTCCCCTTCTGCCCTCCACCCAGCGAGACAATCAGAAATTGGACCAACAAATTGGCACTGAGTAGAACCACCTGAATTTGCTCCACCACAGCCATTTTGGAGCTCAGAGGAACAGTGCAAGACCCCTGTCCTAGGGGAGCTCACTGGCGTAGAAAAAAATGCAAAGATCCAGTCTTGTTCAGGAACTGGGAGCTCCAAGACACATCGTGCAGAGAGACTCGCTGATGCTCTGGGAACAAATTCAAACTCTGCTCCAACATGCTCCAAAGTGTACATGCAGCTGAACTTACTTTTGAAGAAATACACCTGGATTTGCACAGTTCCATCCTGAAGTAGTAAATCCTGCAGATCTGAGATGGTTCCATTTGTCCCCGCACTTACCGCACAGTTATTATGTGGTGCGGATAAGTCACTCAAGTATAATGAGGACTGACTGTATTTCTAGGCAAGGGCTGCACTTCAGAAGTCCCTGACCCTTCATCTCATCTCTTCACACACACACATACCCCTTTTCCACTCCAGTATTGCCGATCTCAAGTCTCCTTCTCTAAATCTTTCCCTCCCATTTTTTTTTGTTAAGCAATTACCACAAGCTTTTTCATGGCCTGGATATCTCTACTCCACACTCCTCCATCCCCAACAGGGACTGAAGGAACTACCCATCTTGCCGCATACGGTGCGCCTCAGTTCTAGGCACTGCTGGACACCAAATATCTGTCTGCTGCTATTCCCTACAGACGGCATATGCTTTCTACCACTCTGGTCCCTGAAAAGCTACACCTGCAATGAAAGAAAAATTATGAAGACCCAAATCTTCATTTAAGGAGTGGAACTGTCAAGTTAAATGTGAGAAATATTAGAGTGAAACATATGGCATGCAGCACCCAGAATATTTGATCACCACAGTCGTCCCTTTTTCAAATTAATTATCTAGGATTCAAAATCAAAGGAAATGATGTTGCCTCTGAGAAAACCTGGGAACGTAAAAGTTCCAAAGGGGCCTAAAATTCCAGCAGTTATTAAATCAGTAGTTCTAATGTCACATATGTGCGTGTCCATAGACAGGAAGGAGACGATCAAAGCTGTATTGGAAAATATCTGAAGTTTGATGCTCCAAGAGCGAGCCATGAACATCATAGTATAAGCGTCTAATATCATGCCTGGGTACTTAACTACCGAGAGATGCATGGGACCAGCTCTTAAAGCCCTGCTGCGTGGACTTCCTGAACTCACCTACGAGCAAATACATGGACCAACTTCCTACACAAATACTGACTGACTCTGCTTTATTTCCTCATTGATGACAATGCAATATACAAAGTGAAAATAAGTAGTGGCAACATTGAACGAGAACAGCAGATACCATCCACATTTAATGAAGTGCCGTACGCGATCTGTAGGCTTACCTACGTGCTGTTTCAGAACGTCAGTTAGGATTTTTTACAGTAAGTCTCTCCGAGAAGCCACTAACTTTTTTGCTTTTTACAGATTCTCCCTGCAAGAATTTGTGCATACTTGTCTCTTCACATCAGAAACTAAAGAGGCTGAACTAGTAATTTCTCTCATTTAAAAAAAACAAACAAAAAAAACCCCAAAACCAGACTTCAGCAATAAACCACCTTCCCTGGGGGAAGAGGGGGGAAAAAATCAGTAAAAAAAAAGATTGCGTGCTGCTTTGGAAGTGGTCCTGAGAAACCACAAACCATTAGTC